GAGAGCAGCCATAATTTATGGCTATAAAAATAATGATTCCTATCGTACTATTGCAGCTCAAGTTGGTTGTAAAAAATTAGCTGTGGGTTCAGTAATTAACAAGTTTTTGAAGACCGGATCAGCTGTATCATGAGCAAAAAGAATTGGGCGATCGTTAACCGTTAACCGTGACATTTTTAAAAAGCTTGCTATCAAGAATCGGTGTTTATGCGCTGTAAAGTTGAATTCTCTTTATTATAAAAAAACAAAAAAAAAGATATCAGAAAAGACCATTCGTCATGCTTTTCATAAGGAGCAGCTGAAAAGTTGCATCGCCCGTAAAAAACCACTTATCTCAAGCGATAACATTGCAAAACATCTTGTCTAGTGTCGTGACCACGAAAAGTGGACTGTGAAAGATTTTAAAAGAGTATTATGGAGTGACGAGTCCACATTTACCCAGTTTCAATAAGCACGAAACTGTCAAGTCTGGCGTGAACCAAATAAAGAATGGGATCTTGATTGTTTAGTCACCACCATCAAACACAGTCCAAGTCGAATGCACTGGAGATGTTTTTCCTGGTTCGAAGTCATCTCTCTAGTTCCTCTATATAAGTCGGTAAAGGGTATGTATATTAATGAAGAAATAAATGAAAAAGAGGTAAAAAAAGGGTGGATAGTGAATAAAGGAAAGGGTAGATGGATGAATGAGAGAAAGAGTGGACGAATGGGAGAAAGGGTGGATGGACGAGCGGAAGAAAGGGTGGATGGATGAGGAAAAAAAAATAAAGTAGGGATGAGATATATATAGGCAGGCATGATGAAGAAAAAAATAATGAAAAAAAAAGGTGGGAAAAAAAAGAATCAGAAAATGGAGACAGAAAAGCGAAAGCGAAAAGAAAAAAAAACGATTTTTTTTTTCTAAATTTTTTTTAAAATTTTTTTTTTAAATTTTTTTTTTAAATTTTTTTTTTAAATTTTTTTTACAGCGGCATCCTATGTCGACATACTTAAAGAATATCTCTTACCGGAAATCGATAATATTCCTAATTGGTCTCACAGTGGCCGTCCCATTTTTCAGCACGATAACGCGCCCCCACACACCGCGAAGATTACCACGGCGTTTCTTGACACTAATAAAATTCGGGTTATGGACTGGCCACCTCAAAGTCCAGACCTTAACCCAATTGAGAACCTGTGGCACATTGTTAAACAACAGGTTTTTCAAGCTAAACCCGCAAGTCTTACTGATTTGGATCAAATTGTTCAAAAATGTTGGAATGACATATCTCCATTGATGTGTCAGCGGTTGATCGCAAGTATGCCACGACGAATTGCGGCTTGCATTGCGGCTGAAGGAGGGTCAACAAAATATTGATATTAAATAAACATATTGTTTTAGTTATATATTTATAACTTCATTATAAAAAAAAAAAATTATTAAGTACAATTTTTTTAAAAAAAATTTTTTTAAGTGTTCGCAATAATATGTCCACCCTCTGTATTTTTAAGCTTTTCTTTATATTAGTATAAAAATCTTTGAAATTAAATTAATATTAGTTTTTTTTAATATATTTATTTATAAAATTCTTGCATTATAAACAACTCTCTTTTCTACTCTATTAAATTACCAAATTAGAAAATTCTAAACAATGTCTAGTCAGCACACTCTGCACAACTCTCTCAGAGACACAACACCCAAATATAATGATAACTAAGTTGCAAGGAACAATGGAAAAATCGTTAAAAAAACAACTGTCAAGAAAATCATCCTATTCAAGAGACCAATGCCAATCAGCAGTAGAAAAGAGATATAATACAGAAAACAAATATCTCAAACCCCAAACACCTGAAGTCCATGAGTATACTAGAAGCAGATACAACTGACATCAATATGGAAAAAAATCTTTTAGATACTAAGGATAGTCTAACCAACAGTTAGGAGTATCCAGAAACAAGACTGACAACAAACCTGGAGTGTACAGACAAAACAGAAGAGAAAAAAAAAAAGAAGAGAAAAATAGAACTTTCACTTATGCTGAGAAAAGAAAAGGAAAAGTACCAGATACATCAGTTCAGGGCAACAATAACAGCATTAACAACATCAACAGCAACAACAAAAATGTGAACACACTTCACAGTGGCAAAGTCTTTTTTATACTTAACCAAGTACCTGAGCAAGACAAACAAGAAAAAATCCGATTTATACAGGAAAGAATGACAAGTAGGTTCTCCCTCAAATACGTCAAAGTGAAAGAGCCAACAGGAGAACCAAACATCACAACTATTTTCAATAACTATACAAACGCCAAGGAAGTATGCACATATCCAATCTTGGAGTTTGAAAACTTCAAACCAAGATTAGCACTGATACTCAACATATACGAAACTAATTGCAAATTAGTCAGAATCGGGATATTCCCCAACACTTTTCAAGAAAGATATTGTAACAGGATCTATCAAATTTGGTTCTATTGAGTATATCCAGATGCAAATAACAGGATTACACAAGTCAGTGGTAGTAACCTTTACTTACCAATCGGACTATAACACAGCCATAAACAATTGATTAGTATCAATAGAGGGCAAGACAATGAGAATGTTTCCATACTACTGTACAAGAGAAACAAGACTAGAAAAAGATAAATTCAGCATTACACTAACCAAGTTTCCAGACTCTATGACAACTCAAGACCTCAGTAATATTATGAAACAAGTTGGTGCCAAAGCTTATCACACATCGCAAACAAATAAAATATTTAGAAGGTTCGCAAGTTTAAATTCCACCTTTCAGGAGGATCTTACCAAAGCAATAGCAAACAACATAGATTTCAAAGGACACAAGCTCATATGGGTGGCCAGAACAGCGAAACTTTGCTACTACTGTGGAAATACTCAACACATGATCGCAAACTGCAATGTTAAACCTCCGGACAATGCTCGCACAAGACACAGGACACATTTCAAAAACAGATTCTCTACATATTGAGAGGAAACATACTATAACAACAAAAACCAGTATAGATATAATGGATCCAACAAAAGTTATGCTAATGTAACTCAAGGGATTAACATGCATCACCTCTCAAATGGGAAGCTTCTTGTCCTCGTCCACCACATACAAAAAACAATAACAAAAGTACAACACCAAATAAGTCAACTAGAGAAAAGAGTTAGCATATTAGAAAAAGATGCAGCATATAGACACATGGATGAAATGGAAGAAGACATGAAATCCACCTCCGACTCCACAATTTTTGCAACAAAACAACTAATCGAGACAGAAGACATCAAAACAACTCAAAGCTGAATCAACAAAAAACTCAACAAAATGAAAGAAATGATGGCACAGTTCGCTGAACTTTTCAGTAACAATCTTTCAAATCAAAACAGCTGCCCTGACTTGACTAGTCTTCAACAATAAATAACAAACCAAGCATGAGCAAACAAGTCTCAGAAGAGCATGAACACAACAATAGATCACAAAGAACGAAAGATCAAAGCAGTAAAGCAAATCGATCAAACGTAAACTCGTGACACAACATCGACTCATTATCACTCAAAGTCACCACAACTAACATAAGAGGAATCAACAACAATAGCAAAAGAGGCATCTGATTCATGCAATGGCATGTCTATAATTGGGATATAGTTATCACTATGGAAATAAACAGCAAAGCCCAAAATGAAAAATACTGAAAAAATGATCTATATATAATATATTGGACATCTGGTATACAATAGATAAGGAAAGGAATCAGGATAATTATAAAAACGCACATCTAAAAAGAATTATACGAAAACAAACTATCGCAGCAAGGGCAATTTGCCTCAACCTAATATTCTCCAGAAAGAAATACCTCAAAATAATCAATGTATATTTATATGCAGTCCCATCAAAAAGAGCAAAACTTGAAATTGAAATAAACAATAGCTAGATAAAGCAAACAAAGACAACTGGAAAGTCATTTTGGGAAAGACCTAAATAATGTACACAGACTCTCGCTAGATAGATTCTTACCTAACAAGAAAGACAGGAAAAATAGATGGCACAGCAACAGCTTATTAATTAACAATCTAATAACAGTTAAATGATACATACATTCAAAAATATACACCTGCTTAGAAAAGAATACATATAGGAGAACTTGACATGTAGCAGAAGTAAAATAGATCAGATATGAACCACAAACAAAGGCAGTAGCATAATAACAACCATAGACATTCTCTTCCCACCTAAGCAGATGTACAACACAGATTACAAGATCACCATAACACATATTACCTTTCCTGAATTGCATACAAACAAATAATCAATCAAACAGAAAAAGATTACCAAATATAAAATACAACTGGGCTGCAACCAAATCACATAAGTGAAAGGCATGAACAAAGGAGATTGACAAAAAATGCACAGAGATGGCTAACACCTGGAGAATGGATATACAGATAAATATTAATACCTAGTGAAACAAACTAAGAGACATCATTCTTATGGCAATCAGTAAACATATAAGGAAAGTTAAAAAATATAAATGCTACAGCAGAAACAAAAAAGTAACAATCAATGCAGCAAATGCAATTGGCTTGATAGATATATTGCAGATCATACAGGAAGCCAAAAAGTTCATTAAAGATAACACGAAAACGTACATACTGCAAAGAATCCAGAAACTCACAAATGTTTACAGTGAACAAATTGGTCAACCCACAACATGGATACCCCCCATATGATCGAATGGCTTGCAGAAGTTAAAAACACAAGGAAAACCATGCAGGACGTATACAAAACACTGCTAGCAGAGTCCAAGAAGAAGGTGATAAGCACAGCTCTCAGGATGAGAATGAACTGGTTAGAGACAGATAAAAAAAGAATAATAAATAGCGTCTTGAATAATAAGCATACACAGATTGTACTTGATAAAATCATTACACAAGGAGAGGAACCAGAAGTCATACTGGATGAAAAAAAAATCAAGCAAACAGTAAAAGAGCACTTTGCCAACTGGACAAAAGCAGGATCGCACAATGTGATCACCAAAGAATGGATACATGAATATGTGCCAATAAGACACGTTTAGACGGAATGTTACAAGGACCTGATAGTCGAGATCAACACTAAGGAACTTACAAAAGTAATAAGAAATGCGAACAGCAAGTCTGCACCTGGACCGTCACAAATACCATACAAAGCTTTAAAAAACCTAGGAGCACAAGCAACAGAGATAATCAGGAAAATATGCAACAGTGTAATAGTGACCAAAAGGATGCCTACAGAGTGGAAACATGGTACCATATATCCAATTCCCAAGACATCAGACTGGAAGAATGATCTATCAAAAGTCAGACCAATTACATTATTAAAGTCCATAAAAAAGATATTCACAAAAATACTGATACTAAGACTATCAAGAGTTCTAACAGCCCACCCGATCCTATCTGAACACAACTGGACAGCACTACCCAAGATAAGTACAAGAGAACCAATCAAAATGGTTAACAGCATAATTGAAAATGCCAAGCTCCACAATAAAGAATGCTGGATAGTCTTTCAAAACATGTCCAAAGCATATGACAGTGTCAACATCAACATGCTCGAGACTGCGCTAAAGAGGCTCAAGATATCAACTACTTTTATCGATCTGAAAAGCGAAAATTTCAATGACTGAAGGAACACAGTCATCACAATAGTCAGGAACATGGACCCTTACGAAGTCCTAGGAGAAATCGATCAAGGAGACATGATCTCCTCAATCCTCGGAAGAATCTATTACGATCCCCTTATTACCAGAATATCTAGAATGAAGGACTATTTATACATCACGAAGGAGACAACACATAATAATCCATATACACACGTGGAAAGAACCAACATATCAGTCGCTGCATATATGGATGATATCACATGGATGGCAAACAACAGAGAGGAAATATAGGTTATTATAAAAACAGCAGAGTCATTTTACAATCTGATTGACATCCAAGCGAACCCCTATAAAACACACATGATAATGTTTGGACAAGACAACCCACCCACAATCAAACTCAGTGGGGTATATATCAAGTACACAGATGACCCAGTAAGGTACCTGGGGATCTGGATACAAAAAAAAGGTGGTAAAAGCTTCCAAAAGCAGTTATTAAAAAAACGATTGATGCAAATACTCAACAAACTTAGATGAAAGCAAACAACAGACAAACAGACAGTATATATACTAAATCACATGCTGTTCCTGAAACTGGAGTATCTTCTCAATGACATGATACTCTCAAATAGGGAAGTTGACAAATTAAACTGAAAAATAAGACATATAGCGAAACACAAACTAGATTTTGCAACAATAGCCCCAAACACTCTTTCACAACCACCTAGGATATAACATATTCGACCTGCAAACTAGACAACTTCAGAAACATGCAACAGACACAAAAGCACTTATAGATCATCACAATATAGTCTTGTACATTACCAAAACCAACATAAGGAACATCCAATAGAGAGCGTAAACACCAACATCAGTAATGAATACATGCCTGAAGCTTTTCAGAAACAACCAAAACTTCACGTATGATATTCTGAGGAACAGCCAAACATACAACATCAGGATTACAATGGAAGCAAGAAAGGAAAGCACATACGAAGATATACACAAGTTGATAACTATAGAAGAAACAATGGGAAGAGAATGATTCGGCAGGAATAGAGAGAAACTCAGAAGTCAAAAATTAAAATAGATAGAACAACTCCTCAACATGGATATAACTAAATGCAACACATGAATCAGCATCATTAAGTTACTCAACATGAAAGCGGGAGGTCACATCTTAACATTTTATGAGGAAATAAGAAAGAAATTAATAGACCCAACAGATACACAGAGAAGAATGCTCAAGACATCAGATAACAGAACAAACACATTCAGAGTGTGGCACGAAACATGTAAGCTTATATCAAAAGAACTTAAAAATCAAAACAGGGACTGAATGCTGGTTAACAGTGTAACAAAGCAAACAATAGGAAAGCTAAGGAAAAGAAAACAAGACACCACGACATTTAGACACTATATTCAGCAGCTACAGGCATCACCAATAGAACCATGTAAAGGCTATGAGAAGAATACATGCCGACAAAAGAGAAAATATATATACAATTCACACAAAGAACACAAGCTGTATAAGTATACAAGTAGCAAAAACAAAGCAAAATACAAGAGCTCTTAAAAATATAAGAAGTGAACTAAAGATGTTAATATGTTCAACAAGTATCGAAATGATAAAAAAAACAAGAGAAACCAGTAACAAAGACCCTAAAACAGAAGTATTGATTGCACTATCAGAAGAATTCCAAGCAGAAGGTCTGTTTACAAACCCCAGTATCAAAAATACCATCAGCAAATTCAGAAAACAGACAGCTACATGGATGGAAACAGAAGTGTACACAGATGCAGGTACCGCAAATAGTAATCACACTATAGTGATCAAAGTTATCAATGTATGTATACAAGAGGAAACAAACTGTATAGGCATAAAACTAAAAGGAAGATTAATAGCACTAAGAGCAGAACTAATTGCAATAATGATTGCATTGACATGCATTACGCACAAAAGTATGACAAGAATCATTACAGATAGCAAAATAGCAATAAAGGCTATCAGATGTACCATGAGCAAAAAGAAATATAATGAATAGTAGAAAGAATAAAACAAACTATCAAATAGAAAGAGTTGACAGTAGAGCTTATACACAAGAAGAGGAGAAGCAACACATATACCAAAAAGGTAGACAGAAGCAAAGAAAACAAAATACAACTGGATCAGAGAAGAGAATAATATAATGGACAATACAGCAACAGGAACCAGATATAAGTTAAACAACAAACCTATAGTAGAGGACATAAGGACTGAGATCAGAAATATGTTTAAATGGAAATATATCATAGAATGATATTTATTGAACAGAAATTGCAGCACAATAGAAGAACATGAGAAAATAGTATGGAAACAGACTGTAAAAATAAGACATTTTACAAAACTATCTGAAAGATCAATAAACTATGAAAACCACAATACCTGATTATTCTATAATAAAATATGGGCATAAGAATTGTTAACAATAAAGAGAAACAACATTAGACAAACAGACATATATATACAACAGGTGTATCAAATGTGATCAGGCAACTAAGAACAACATATACATTTTTTTATGCAAAAAAAACAGAATAATACTATCAAAGCTGATAACTCAAACAATAACCATGAAAGGGATACAACATGCAAAAGTAAAAGACAAGCTAGTCAAAGAATAGGCAGCAAACATAAGTACAACAAAAAAAAATTATGGACAGAATTGATAGTTAAAGGCATAATATTAAAAGAGTTAATAATAACATTACAATGATGGACAAGGAACCAGGAAATGACTAATGAAATATTAAGAGAAAGCATGTTTACGATAATATGTACAATGAGATAAATATGAAAATAAAGATGCAAATACATGAAGAAGTGAAAGACAAGCCAAGAGATAATAAAACAAAACAAAAGAGATAGAACAAAATAGACAAATAATAAAGAAAACAACAGTGAAGGCAGTGAGGATAGCAGAAAATGCATTATCAACAAATGTATGGAAACTAGAATGAAACCTTTAAGTATATTCAATTATGTTTATAATAATATTATAGCTAATGTTAATACTAGTAATACTTAGGCATGTTAGTTCTCTCTAGAGATGGCAACAAGCTGCAGAGACTCAAATAGAGTAACTGAATAGCAGAAGCAGAATAGAATATATGCAATATAAGCTAGTATAGTTATATATTTTCTAACATTGAAATAATATATATCACAAAACTTTGTAATATAATAAGTAAATGTTAATAAAGCTCTTGCTATAGGCAAGTCAGTGTTATAAAAAAAATTTATAAAATTCTTGATATAATTATAAAATTTGTTTCAATTGAAAGAGATAATTAGACTTGTTTATACAGTAACTTTATATTTTGAATAAAGTTTTGATGTTTCTTTAGATATATTTTTAAGACTAAACTTGTAAAACAATTTGGTTTTTTTGAATTTAAAATAATTTAAGTTAATTAATACCATATGTGAGGGTCGGTCAAAGTCCTCTCTATTAATTAAGTTTTTAAGGCTGAGGCGTAATAATTTGGTCCGAGTATCCTTCTCTTTCTCTAAAAAAATAAACTCAATTTCATCTGTTAGCATGCATATTCGTCTACTCAAACTATACCTAAGTTCCTGTTGTAGCAATGAGCATTCACACTGACAATTACTTTGAAACTCTTCCAAAGTCCTTTATGGTCACAGTTTTATCTTCAAATGTCATACATTTGCATAGTAGCTGGAACAAATAGTTATTTTAAGCAATTATTGTTCTGTTTATTTAGATATTTTCGCTCTCCTTATATACATACTAATTACAAAAAATTATTTCAAATATATTAACTATCTCAACTATCTAAACTATCGCTAATATATCTAATTTCTCAACTATATTAAATATCTTAAATAAATCAAAGAAATCAAATAAATCAAATAAAAGAAATATATTACAGATATCTCATTTTTCTCAGATTTGTTATTTTTAGGATCATTATTGCATAGACTCATGTAACCATGCAATTTTCCTTTCACACATATAATAATTAGTTAAAATTATATTATATTCTTGAATTTTATATTAAATAATTTTGAAAACTAAGTTTTTGAATAGTTAGGCTTGATCAATTTGAAAAGTATTAATAAAAATAATAAATATAAAAATTTTTTTATCAAACTATTGACCAATATCTATATTGTTGCATTTGATTTTCATCCAAGATTTTATTACCTTTTTTTCAATTTTACTAATATTTATTCTTGAAATATCTTCTATTCTAGAATAATCTTTATATTACTAATCTGCTATTATCAAGTACTATGCTTTTTATACTATTCTTGCTTTAGAATATTTTATATTTTTATATTTATCTTTAATTACTTATTTTTCCCAAAGCATTTTTTCTATAATAATATATATTATTATTAGGGTTGGATCGGTCCGGTCTGGTCTGGTCTCAGTCCTAGTAAGACCGGTCTTATAATGTTTGTCGGCTCAATTCGGTCGGTCCTCGGTCCCAAAACGGTTCTTAGCAGACTATTTTTTAAATTCAGCTAATTTTTATTATGTGAAACAAGCGAATAAATAGAAAATTTTTTTTTTTTAAAAAAGTTTTAGAATTTTCAAAAAAAAATATGTAATTTAATAACAGCAAAGCATGCAATACATTGTATTTTAGTATGTAATTTAATAACAACAAAAGCATAAAATTAATATATTTAGCATATTTCTTCGTGAATCCAACTTTTTAAACATAAAATCGCTCTTGCTGACTCTTCATCTAACCTATTTCTTAAAGCCGAAATTGTTTGCCCTGCCACTGAAAAAGCCTGCTCAGAGGCAACACTAGTTGCTTGAATAGATAAATAATCTCGAGCGATCAGGCTTAGGATTTGATATTCGCGACGTTGTACTTGCCACCAAAGTAATGGATCAACTTGATCTTCTAAAGATAGTGACAAATATTTTTCTACCTCATCTTGAACATGATTTGTTAGAAATAAAGGGAAATCTGACTTGTTATCAGGTGTAGAAGAAAAAGACACATTTTTAGAAAATAAACTATTATCTCGTAATTGGTGAAAATAATTTCGTGTATCCATTAGATCATTCTTTATAATTGTTGTGACTGGCTGAGATGCATTAAAAGAATATTCTGATAAGTTTGATACTAAATTTATTACCCTATTTCTTTCGTTTTCATCTTTAAATGCTGATAACTTAGTTCGCGGATCAAGTAAAGATGAAATCTGCGAAGTTTCATCTAATATCGGCCAATATCCTTCTAACTTTTGATGAATTGCATTCGCTACTGGCTTCTGGGAAAAATTAGTATCATTAACATATTGTACTAAATATTCCTGGATACTAAGAAAAACAAAACGGACATCGCCATGCGTCGGATAACTGGAAGCTGAAAGAAGACGTGTAGCACGTTCAATCGGCTCTAAAAGGAGCATTATATCCTTTATTTTTTTTTAAAATTAATTATTAAATTTTTTTAAATTAATTATTAAATTTTTTTAAATTAATTATTAACTTTTTTTAAAATACGTATAATGATAAAAAAAACTAATACTTATATTGATATTAGATCGATCGCTCTCATTTAAATATCGTTGACGAACTGTTTGATCATCCACTGCAAGTAAATTCAATGCAGGCTCCATTCGTCTCCACTTTTCTAGCATATAATATGTGAAGTTCCATCTGGTCTTTACGTCAATCTCAGGTGCTAGGTAATTAATATCTTTTACTCTACATAGTACTTTTAAGGCATTTCTTGTAATTTGCGAATTTTTAATATAAATCATTAATGATCGTACTTTAACGATCGAATTATCAATTAATTCAATGCCTTGTGTAACTGCAAGATTTAATATATGAGCCGCGCATCGATAGTGAGAAAAATTAAGGTTGCTAAATTCCCTTTCAAGCTCTTCTGCAATAAATGTGCCACATGTGATCATCAAGGAAGCATTATCTGTAGTTAAAGCCAAAGTTTTTTTGGCCAAATCAAATTCGCATAAAACTTGCATTATTGCATCACTTATATTGATTCCAGTGTGTCGAATTGCCATTGGGATTATATCAAGAAGGAAATTTTTTAACTTCCAAGAAGAATCAACAAAATGTATAATAAGGTTAAGAAATGCTGAACCATTTGACGCAGTCCACATATCTGAGGTAAACGCAACTTTTCCTGGAATTTGATTCATAACTAATTTTACTTTCTCTTTATTTTTTTGAAATAATTCCATTATTCGATCTTTTATAGTATGTCGATTATGGAATTGATATCGTGAATCAAATTTTGTAATCATATCTCGCCACTCTTTGTTTTCCACGACACTAAATGGCTGTGTATCACATATTATCCATCTTATAACTAATTCGTCACGTTCTTCTTGATCGTTTGTTGAATGAGAAATATTATTGTACATTTTTTTTTGTATTCGTTTTGGTGCTATAATTTTGTGAGAATCCAAATGGCGCCTTAATGTTGAGGTTCCTGTCATTTTTGCGAATACGGTTTTGCAGCTTTTACAAACAGGTTGATTAGAAAATTCTGGTGTATTAGTTACAAAATAATCCCACACTGTTGACTTTACAGCCCTTTCTTTATTTCATGACTTGCTTGAACTCGCAACAGTGATATTATCACCTGGAAAATCTGAAGATTCGTAACTTTCATTACTTGGCGTAAAGGCAAGAAGTTCATTCACATCCATTTTTTATATATATTTATGTAGATATGTAAATCTTACCTTATTTGTCTACTACATATATATTAACCGGTCCGAACTGATCAGAAGACTGATGACTGAGAACCACGTAGACTGGTTAAAAAACCGGTCCAAAATCAGTCTTTTCAAGACCGATCCAATCCTAATTATTATAGAGAAAATATAATAGATAGTGTTAAACTTAGTTAGGCTGTATGAAGATAGGATCTTTGGTCTTTCTGATGATCACAGGCTGAAAACAGATTGAAGCAAAAAAGATTGCATAAGGAAAGGTTTCTGGTCTAACTTCTATAAAAGTCCATAACTAAAGATAAGTCCCTAAATTATTTAGCATATAAAATTTCACAGATCAATTATGTTCCTTTTGAAGAAATATAATTATTTATTCATTATTTTAATAGGAATATAATTTAAAAAACATTTGAATCAAGTGGTCTAAATTGCAAAAAACCTTTATAGATAGTTTTTTTTTAATAGTAAGGAACATTTGAATTATATCCTCACCTTTAATTTAGGAATCCATCTTTACCCACAACTAAAGATGGGTCCCTAAAGTATTTAGCATATAAAATTTACATCCCTTTACATCCATGTCCCCTAGAGGACATA